GCCTCAGCCTCCCAAGTAGCTGGGACTACAGGTGTGTGCTGCCACACCCGGCTAATTTTTTCTGTTTTTAGTTGTCCAGCTAACTGTTTTCCTATTTTTTAGTAGAGACGGGGTCTCATTCTTGCTCAAGCTGGTCTCAGACTCCCAACCTCAAGCGATCCTTCTGCCTTAGCCTCCCAGAGTGCTAGGATTACAGGCATGAGCCACCACATCTGGCCTAAAAGAGCACAATTCTTATACACCTGGCCCACATTCATTTTCTTCTGTCTATCTATGGCATCTTTCCATGTTGACATATTCATACCTGCTCTGAACCTTCCTTTTCATGGCGGCATAGTTGACTTCTCGCTGGCTGCACTGTAATTAATGACTCAGTGCTCTGCTCTTGCGTGTTAGGTTGTTTGTAGCATTTCACTTTGATAACCATCTCTGACCGGTGCATACGGAGGCCAAAGAGCCACATATGTTTTGTCAGGCTTTCTTTCTGAATTTATACTCCTCACCCTACTCCAGTAATGCATAAGACTGTGAGTTTCTTAAAACAATGACCAAATTGAACACTGTTGTAATTTTTAAATCTTTGTTGATCTGATAAGAGATTTTAAATCACCGTTTCCTTAAAATATTTGGGGGCTGTGTTTTGGCAGGGGGGAGGAATTTTTATATACTTTGCCTGTTTTTTCCTTGGCTGTTGGAATTAGGTTAGTGAATCATGTACATTATTTAGACATTGATTTTTAAATGTTCCTGGTTTAATTTCACTTCCTTTTTTTTTTTTTTTTTGAGAAGACTCTTCTTGTTGCTCGGCTAGAGTGCCATGGGTGGTCGTGCTCACAGCAATCTCAAACTCCTGGGCTCAGGCAATCCTCCTGCCTTAGCCTCCCAAGTAGCTGGGACTACAGGATGTGCCACCATGCCAGCTATTTTTTCTATGTTTTAGTTGGCCAATTAATTTCTTTTCTATTTTTAGTAGAGGCGGGGTCTTGGTCTTGCTCAGGGCTGGTTTCAACTCTGACTTTGAGCGATCCACTTCCTTGGGCCCTCCCCAAACGAGTGTAGAGTACAGGCGTAAGCCACTTCGCCCGGCCAGGCAACATTATTTTAGTCGTGGTCTAGTTAACTTTTTGCACAGAGCTGCTTCAAGGCCGGTTTCAGTAAGTAAATGAAGTCATGTGCTCCTTATCTTGGTCTGTATTGATGCCTGATTATTTGAATGAAACTTCGCTGCAATTCTTTCTTTGAAACTGATGAATGTGATTGCAGATGCCTTGACTTGAAGGAAACGCTTTTCAGAATTTGCAGTGTGAACCCACATCGTCTTGGGGCCCTTATTTTTTAACGATTTGTCCAGGTTTATTTATAAACTCTGAGTAACCGTGCCCCTCTCTCTGGATTGTCCCATAGATTCCCTGTGAAGAGCCCCTGCTGGTGCACCAGACCTACTGGGGGCCGACTGCCCGACTGCCCCAGACTCCGGCAGTGGGGCCCCCGATGGCAGTGGGCACCTCCCTGTGAAACCTGCCAAGCTGGACGCCACAGCTCTGCACGAAGACACTTTGGCCAGCTCCGTGCCCCCTTCGGAGGCGTGGAACCATGCAGTCCTAGCCTGCAGCCCGGGCATCCCTGAGGAGCACTATATAAGCGAGGCTGTGGAAGATGCTCCCAGCTGCAGAGGGTACCGGGATGCCTGCACCATTACCGGTATGGGGGCCCTGTCCCTGCTAGGGAGGAAGGGAGGGAGGCGGCCGTCAGTGAGGACTGGGGAAGGGATGCAGCTGTAGGAGCGAGTCTGGAGAGGGGGAGGGATTTGGCGTGGAACCACCAAGTGCAAAAGAGTCTGAGCTTTGGCATCTGAGACCTCCCATCCAGAACCTGCTTTGCTAGTGAATCATTCTGTGACCTGAAATATAGACAGCACCTCCCAGAATTGCCATGGAGGTTAAAGACGGTAACATTGAGCAGTATGCAACATGCATGGCCCCCAGCAGGTGCCTAGTGTAGTTTAGCCCCTTCCTCCTCTCTCTGAGGCTCAGTTCTTCACAGATAAGTGCGATGGAAGTAGCACGTGCTGTCATCGTGGGATGCAGGAATGGAGCATTATATACTGTGCCCTTTGTACACCATTAGCATTTGCACTGACAGCGGTTCTCATAGATACCGGTGTCAGTCACAACTACCCAGTGTCTCAGGAGCAGGATAATCACCTCCCAGTTCACTGGCAGCATCTGCTATGCAAGCATTTTGTACTAGGGCTCTTGCTTGTTTCTTTTCCCCTGGGAAACACTGAGACAAGTGCTTGGAGCTGGCATAGAAAGAGAGGACTTTCTATGGAGATGGTGTAGAATGGTGTGCCTACCGTGTTTCCCGGAAAATAAGACCTACCCATAAAATAAGCTCTAACTTCCTATCTAGCTGTAATTTTGTATGCTTGAACAAATCTTTTCCTATTTCCCATTTTTTGCCTGCAGTTTTTGCTTTTGTCCTGCTGTTTAAAGTATTGCCTGATGACAGTTAAACACATGCAGGTTTGCTTCCAGTAGCTTCTCGTTGTTCTGTGTTACCAGTTAATCCTTAGGACCTCCCGTATGTCTGGAGTTTCCTGGCTACAGAGGGGCACAGAGACGGTCCCGCGCCAGGCCCCTGCACACCTCCTCCTCTCCCATCCCCTTGAGTGGCCCACACACGTCGCCCTCCACCTGTGCGCTGAGTCCCGCCCCTGCTCACCTGCCACCTGAAGGACATGGTTCCAACTTCTCCCGTTTCTCTACTGCATCATCCTTCACCCCCTCAACATGCATCTTTCCTGTCAGCGCAGGAACGTGCCATGATCTCTCCCCTCTTGAGTAGAATCCTTCTCAGCCCCAGGTTCCCCGCAGGCCAGTACCCCGTGTCTCTGCTCCTCTGTGTTCTCCGGTTTCTCTTCTGTTCTCTGCTGAGCCCACTGTGGGCAGGCCCGTGCCCCGCCACCCCCCAGCACCGACGGCCTTGTCTTTCTAGGGGTACATCCTCAGTTTTCGCCTTACTTCAAGGTTCAGCTGTAGTCGACACTATCAACCCTTCTCCCGCAAACGTCCTCACTTGGGTTCTGGGCCTCCACCCACTCCTCCTCCTCCTGCCTTGGTGGCTGCAGCTCCTCTTCTCCCAAGTCTGGGGACATGTTGGTTCCGGGGTTCGGCCTTTCGGCCCTTTTGTTTTCTTTTGCCGTTCCCCCCCCCAGTTGTTTTGGCCGGATTTTGGTTTTTAAAGGCACGTTTTTTTTTTTCTTCACCCGGGCCTTTTTTCTTGCGGGCCGGTGTTTTCGTTTTATTTCCCGTTAGTTTTTTCTTTGGCGTCTTCGTTGCCCTTTTGGTTGGGGCGGCCCAACTGAGATCCTGATTTCCACCCCTACCCCTGCTCTGGGTGCTCTCCTGTCCTTGTAAATGGTCCTTGCATCACTCTGGTGGCTCAGGCCAAAAACCCTGGAGGCCTTTATGACTTCTGTTTTTCTTTGGCACCCGTTTGCCAGGATTTCTGTTGGCTCTGTCTTCAGAGTGTGCCCAGAATTTGGCCATTTCTTACCGCTCTCCAGCAGCCACCTGGTCCCAGCCGCCTTCGTTGCACGCCTGGGTGGTTTCACTGGCCTCCCAGCTGGGCCTCCTCCTGCCACCCTTGCCCTTCTGCAGTCTGTGCTCCACCAGCTGCGACAGTTGGCTTTTAATACAGAGTCAGATGGTTGAACTCTCCTCCAAACCCACAGTGAGCTCCATCTTGCAGTGGCCTCTGAGGGTCTGAGCGATGGGCTGCCCCTTCGCCCCGCTCCGCTCCAGGCATGCTGGCCTACTCGCTGATCCTTCAACACTCCAGGTTTGCCAGCCTCAGGGCCTTTGTTCTTGCTGCTGCCTCACACCTGGATTGCCTTAGCCCCAGATGTCCTCATGACCCCTCTTCCTTCTCCAAGTGGTATTTCATGGGATGCCTTTTGTGACCACCCTAAATAAAGAAATGATCCACCTCTCCTTTCCCTGTCTCCCTTTCCTGCTTTATTTTTCTCCCCAGACTTAACCATCCTCTGGGTTGCTGCGTGTTTGCATTTTGTCTTCCCAACTTGCAATAGACTGTGAACTCCTCAAGGGCAAGGACTGTGTCTGCTTCGTGTGCCCCTGAATCCCAGTGACTAAAATAGTGCCTTACATGTGGGTGGTGCTCAGTGTATGTTTGCTGGGTGAATAAATTGTGTTGTTTAATTATTACTGCAACCCCATGAAGTGGGTACGGTTACCCTCTTTTTGCAGGAGAAGGAACTGACCCTCAAAAGGTTCAGCATCTTGCCTGGAATCACTGAGCTCCGAGGGGCAGGAGTTGCATCCGGGTCTTGGGTCTCCAGGGCTCGTGTTCTCTGATGCCCAGGAACGCAGTCTGGTTGGGGAGATGGGTGAGCGAGTGGGAACTGCCTGTACCCGAGGTTAGTGCAGCAAAAAGTGCGGCACGCAGGAGGGTGCCTGGCCGAACCTTAGAGGGGAAAGGACAGAGGAGAGGACCAGGAGGGCTTCGTGGAGGAGGCGACCTCCCAAATGCATCTACATTTGTCCAAACGTGTGAACTTTGTTCACAAAGGGCAGAAGTTAAAAGAAAAAAAAAAAGAAGCCCATGTGAACGGACCCCTGTGATCCTAGTGGTGTCTATACCGGTGAAATCCAGGAAACATCCAGCCTGTTAAAGCAGTTTCACTTTCTCTGGACTTGACCACTGAGAGCAACTGAACAGCAGAGAATGCAATGCTGAAACTTCAAACCCTGTGGGACGCGGTAATTAATGCGAGGTTCTCTGTTGGGACGGGGGAGCTGAGAGACAGCTCCGTGCTGTCATGCTGAGCAGGGGCTTGCAGCGCAGCAGTGCAGACACAGGTGCGTTTAAGGTGCTGGGCGGCCAGAGGATGCAGAACGTGCTCAGATTAAAGTCTCATGAGATGGTCATGGAAAGGAGACGTAAAACGGAGAAGGTTTTCCGAGAGACCCAGCGTGTCCCCAGGAATGCCTGTGTGGCCTCCCAGCGCCCTGCCAAGTGCTGTCCCAGGGCGCTGCTTGGCACGCAGCCTCTGATAAATACCCTCCTCCCCCGGCTCCCGGCGTGCCCGGAGATGAACAGCAGACTTTTTGTTCCACTCTAATTTTGAGGCAAAACCCAAATGCCCGTCACAAAGCCCCGTTTTCCCTGCGGCTCCCCTGCCTCCAAGCTAGAGGTATCACATTTTTGGGTGCGTCATTTTGGGGTGGTTTCACAAGATGAGCCGATAGGGCTCCCAGGCCGCCGGAGTTACGTAACCCGTTGGGCTTCCAGGGCAGCTCACAGTCTCAGGATTTGCCCTAACAGGCACTCTCAGAGAACCGCTGAGGAAGGCAGGCCAGGGTGGCTGCGCCCAGGCGGGGTTCCCATGGAGGGCCTCTTCTTTCCCTGAGTTGCGTTTGGAGTGTACGTCTGCACATGGCATTGGTTTTTCAATCCGGGCAGCCCGCGAGGGCCCAGGCTCTGCCAGGACTCGGCCGAGGCAAGCTCACTGGGACAAACTCGTGCGGTAAGTGTGTTTGCCGGGTGTGTCTGCTGTTTGTTTTGTTTGTGGTGTGGCCGGAAAGGAGAAAAGACCACAGGAGAAGTTGTTTCTGTCTTGCTCTCTGCTGTTTGGCAGCTTGTCCAGGGCCATGTGGTAGGGAAATGGTGACACTGAATGATTGGCAGGCAGAGTGGAGGGACTTTAGAGGCTGCCCCTCTTCCATCCCCTTGTCCCTTCATCCCCTTTTCCCCTCATCCCCTTGTCCAGGCTCAGAGGAGGCAAGTGAGCCCTGTGGGGTGCGAGCAGTAGGACTGAGTTGGGAGCAGGTGCCTGGGACTCCCACCACTTTCCCCTTCATAGTTCTCTGCGGCAGCAAGCAGGGTCTTTGGGGTCCCCTGTGGCCTCTCTAGCTCCCTGATTTCTCCAATTCTGTGTCTTTATCGCTGTTTCTTAAAGCCTAGCCTGGTGTCTTGGGTCAGCAAGGACCTTTTCAAAAGGTGAAAAACAGAATGAGACCAGCCTTTCTCTCTCTCTCCCTTCTTCCCTCTCCCTCCGCCCTTACTTTCTTTTTGTCTTTTACTAGGTGCTTGGCCCTGTGACTCCAGTCCACACCCGGTGATGGAGAGCTTGCTAATCCTCTGCTCTGGCGTGTCTCTCTTGCTGGGGCCTGTGTTTCTCCTCGCTTCCTCTAAGCTGGTCAGAGTCTGATGGTTGATGGCCTGTCTGGTTTCTGTCCTGTCTACACGCTGCTTCCTGAAAGCTCTCTGGGCCTAAAAACAGTAAATCCCTGGGAGGATTGAGCTGCTCTTGACCTCCTCCAGTTAGTTTTAGGTGTTTTTTTTTTTTTTTGAGACAGAGTCTCGCTTTGTTGCCCAGGCTAGAATGAGTGCCATGGCGTCAGCCTAGCTCACAGCAACCTCAAACTCCTGGGCTCAAGCGATCCTGCTGCCTCAGCCTCCCTCGTAGCTGGGACTACAGGCATGCACCACCATGCCCGGCTAATTTTTTCTATAGATATTAGTTGGCCAGTTAATTTCTTTCTACTTATGGTAGAGATGGGGTCTTGTTCTTGCTCAGGCTGGTTTTGAACTCCTGACCTCAAGCAGTCTGCCCACCTTGGACTCCCAGAGTGCTAGGATTACAGGCGTGAGCCACCACGCCCAGCCTAGTTTTAGGTCTTAAGACACGTAAATCTTACTGAATAAGCTTGAAGACACTTTAAACATGCATGAATCCATAAGATTACATTCAGGGCCAGCTCCTGGCTGGGGCTTGTTAGTTGCTGGGGTCCCTCCCTGAGGACTGGTCCTGCCCTCAGAGCACAGGGGGGGCAGAGGTGTGAATGGGGAGGACTGCTCAGGAAGAGTATGCTCCTAGGAGCAGTCCTGCCTCCATTTCTCCCCATTAAAGGGCCATGGTTTAGGTCGTGTTCCTTTTCTATCACCCATTAAAGCATTCAGACTTGATGTTGTATCTTCTGAAAACATGCTCAAATAAAACATTATGGGCTTCGGGCTCTTTGTATTAATTAAGATCTTAATTTCTGTCCAGTGTAATGTGTTTTCCTTTGAACATTTATAGGTACCTTAATGGTACTTATTTGGCTGTATTAATGAATGAAACAGGAAAGAATGGACATCGAAATATCCCTTCTTTGACAGTGAGAAGATATGAATTAGAATTAGACTCTAGTTCTAAGTCTGCAATTTGGTAGTGGTTTTTTGCTCCTTTCCCTCAGTGGAATGTCCTCTATTTAACAGTTGATTTGCTTTTGCAAATGGAATGCAGAACAGGGCCCTGTTGTGCTGATTTCTAGAGCTAGCATTTGGTCTTTGCAAAAACACGAAAACATTCACCTCTGCCTTTTAAATAGGCTAGAAATGATTCTTGTGACCACTGGCTGATCATCCTCACCATGGGATGGTTGGGCAGAATATTTATTATACAGGGTTTTTGACATAAATTATAAAATCGAGTTAATGAATTTGTAAGCTGCTTGACACGATTGGGAGTTACAGTTCTCAGGTGTTTGATATTTTTAAAAATCTTCTTCCTAATTGGTATTAATTCTTCATTTGAAACAAGTTTTGAATGTGTTCCCTGAGTGTTACGGACTTCGCCCACCTCAACCCATTTTAGAATGCTGGCAAATAATAAATTATAATAGAAAAAGATGCAGTTGCTGGCAGAGGGGCCAGGTGTGGGCCTCAGCCCTCAGTACCTGTTCGTCCTGCCCGGCTGAGGTCTGCTGTGGGGGCTTCACTGGGGTTGACAGACGGGGGTGCACCTCTGCCAGGATCAGCCCAAGCAGGCAGATTTGGATGTCACTCTGGACTCACAAGAGTCCCATGAGGAACTGTGGAGTCAGAAATTTGTCTGTGTTCAGTGACCCTTGATCTCTCGTGAATATTGAAACACTTCAGCAAGTCAGGCTGAAACAATGATGAGCTGAAACGTTATACATTATAACTGTAATTCGACCTGAATAAATGGAATTTCATAAATCCTGTGTTAGGGTTTTCTGGAGAAACAGAATCGAGTGTGTGTGTTTGTGTGCTTGCGTTGTAAGAAATTGGGTTAGTCCATTACGAAGGCTGACAAGTCCCTAGATCTGCAGTTGGCAAGCCAGAGACCGGGGAGAGCCAGGGGCGTAGTTCCAGGCTCAAGGCTGATAGGTGTCAACAGAAAAGAAGCCAAACTCTGTAAAATAATTTAAAGAGGTTTATTCTGAGCCAAATATGAGGACCATGACCCAGAGCCACACCCGAGAAGCCTTGAGCAAGCAGACTCACTGTGGCTGGGTTACAGTTTGGTTTTATACAGTTCATGGAGACAGGGGTTATAGGTAAAGTCATAAATCAGTATGTGGGAAGCATACATTGGTTTTGCCGGAAAAGGTGGGCCATCTCCAAGAGGCAGGGCTTGGCTTACAGGTTATAGGTGGGTTTAAAGATTCTTTGACTTGTAATTGGTTGAAGACGTGAAGCTTTGTCTAAAGGCTTGGAATGTTTTAAGATAAAGAAGTCTGTTTATCAGGGGAAAGCCAAGCTGGGACATATATTTGTCGTATAAATTGAGGACCTGAGACATATATTTGTTTTGTAAATTGAGGACCTGCAGGTGTGCGTTGTATAACCTTAGGCCTGTTAATGGGTTACAAAGGATGTCCCCAAGAAGGGAGGGGGGCATGGTAAAGCATGTCTGACCTCCCTCCTGGCCGGCAATTTAGTTGGAGAATATTCGTTTGGCCTAGAGGGGGTCCATTTAGTCAGCGAGTTGGGGAGGGGTGAGCCTTAAAATTTTATTTTAGTTCACAATACCAAAGCGTAGTCAGTGGAGAGTAACTCTCACTCTACTACCTTTACAATTTAACAGTTAAAAAAAGATCATTCCAAGAAGTTTTTTGCACATAACTCTTTTTCTAAAAAAACACAAATGGGACCACACCATACCCTGTATCTGCTGGTGACTTGATCTTGGACTTCCCAGCCTCCAGAACTGTAAGAAATAAATGTTTGTTGTTTATAAGCCACCTGTTTATGGAGTTTCATTATAGCGGCCTGAATAGACTAGGAAAAACCAGCAGTTCTCAATCCTGGAAGACCTAATGTTTCTTTTTGTAACAAACATTTATATGACCTCTCATATATATTTAATCACATATCTATGAGATTAAATGAATAGATACCTAATCCTCTTAAACACATAATTTTAAGAGAATCAATACAATATCTTACTGGAATGTAAAGGAGAAACTAAAGTAAATGATGTAACCTGTATTTGAGTTGTAACTACATGGACAAGGCCTCATTAGGATGCATAAAGAGCAGTTAGGCCCTGCCCCTGCAGGTAGAATTGCCGGGAAGGTGGCAGCCACAAAGGCAACTAACTAATCGTGCTGGCTACTCGAGGTCCAAGATGAACCACTGCTGCAGTCCCCTGTTAATGGGTATTGTAAATTGTTTCCAGTGTTTGCTTTTTTTTTTTTTTGGGACAGAGTCTCGCTCTGTTGCCTGGGCTAGAGTGCCGTGGCATCAGCCTAGCTCACAGCAACCTCAAACTCCTGGGCTAAAGCAATGCTTCTGCCTCAGCCTCCCCAATAGCTGGGACTCTCTCATGCGCCACCATGCCCAGCTAATTTTTTTCTATATATTTTTAGTTGTCCAGCTAATTTCTTTCCATTAGACTGGGGGCGGGGGGGAGTCTCCCTCTTGCTGGGGCTGGTCTTGAACTCCTGAGCTCAAGTCATCTGCCTGCCCGGCCTCCCACTGTGTTTGCTTTTTAAATGGTGCTCCAAGGGACTTTCTTCCTCACCCTCAGAAGCACTGATTTTAAAAGTATGCAGCAGAACGAATGCAAACAGTTTAAAGAATGCACCTTGGGGTCTTCCACTCCGACAGATCCCCAAACTGCCATCTTTCCTCCCCAAAGGAAACACTTTCTTTCTAAAAATATCCTATGCATGTGTAAGTATGCATGTCCCCTCCCTCCCTTTAACATTTTCTTCAAATGGGGACATACGCTAAACGCACCATTGCTTTTCTGTTTAGTAATCTGTACTGGAGACCTTTCCAGTTAGCACACATCCAGCATTTTCTTTTTATTCTTTTTTTTTTTTTTTTTTTTGAGACAGAATCTCACTGTGTTACCCGGGCTAGAGTGCTGGGGCGTCAGCCTAGCTCACAGCAACCTCAAACTCCTGGCCTCAAGCGATCCTCCTGCCTCAGCCTCCTGAGTAGCTGGGACTTCGGGCATGCACCACCATGCCTGGCTAATTTTTTCTATATATTTTTAGTTGGCCAATTAATTTCTTTCTATTTTTAGTAGCGACGGGGTCTTGCTCTTGCTCAGGCTAGTCTCGAACTCCTTACCCTGACCAATCCTCCTGCCTCGGTACTCCCAGAGTAGGATTATAGGCGTGAGCCACCGAGCCCTGCCCCAGCATTTTCTTTTTATCAGGTGCATGTCGCTCATGGCTTGCAAGACCTACAACAGATTTAATTACTTCCCTATTGACAGACATG